CACAAAATGGTTATGAGATCAGTCCCAGTGACAAAGCCCATGCTGAAAGATTTAACTAGTAATTCAAATTGTCTCAAATAAAGCACCTTCTGTGCAAGAGTAAACTTGAGTTTTAAGATATTTGGTCAGTAATAAAAATACACTTACTTCACCTGCTAGAGGCACATCTCCCAGTAAATAGGAGCGCAGTTCAAGGACATAGGAGACAGCGATGCACCATCCACGAACAAAAGATTTTAACCACTGCCTAGTATGGCCCTGCTCAAGGACAGCTGGAAGGACAACTTGTAGCAGAATCAGTTCTAGAGACAACTCGCTTACAGGTGTTTCACTGGAAGAAATCAGGGAGACTGTTATTAATCAGATATCATTAACCACCACTGTAACAATAAAATAATAATAATCAGTACAGATACCAGCTCATACAAAGAACTTTAACTGGAGAAATAGCAGAAATGAGTATTTCAAACAGCATCCTATTAAATGGTGTATCATTGTAACATTAGAAAGACATGATAAATGGAATGGATCTGGAGTAACATGATACCAAAAGTGATCCATAAAGACATCTCAACTGGTGATGTTCGATTTATTATGTATTTTAAGAGTAAGAGTTATTTTGGTTATAATAAGATTTAATAAACATACACTTACCTTGATAAAACAACATTGTACGGCAAGAACTCTGGGAACACCTTCCTGATTAACTGCACCGGGACCCACACCATTAGCAGAACTACCATGCCAAAGATAACTATTGATGCCAAAAACCTCCGTATATGTCGTAGAATAGGCAAACGAACCATCTAAAGAATTTATATCTTTATTATGATTCACTCTTTTTAACAATCAAATCAAACTTTTCTATTTCATAAACCACATAAAATATTATTAAAAACCACACACCAAAGAATCATTGTATAATATTGTTATTTGGATTGTTCATATATTTGTCACCAGGAACCAAATGACAAAACCTTGTTGAAACGTTGTAAATTTACTGTTATGTTAAACTTATATTAAAGTTTTTCTTCATTACCCATTCAAGCCATTTCCAAGCATTGTAAGTGTTTAATAGTATACAATAAACAATTTTTAAAATGAAACTGTTCTCAGTCTTAAAATACCATAAAACATTTTCTCAATCTATTGTATAAAGATAAAAACCTGAAGCTACCTGCATTCTCACACACCCTACATGTTGACATATTACATCATTATCAGGAGTGCTATATTTTGACAAAAACTAAGACCTATACACATCTGATTAATGAATCACATGATTTATATTCAGATTTAACTCAAAAAATGTCATGCCATCTACTGAAAACTATTTCTCTATTCTTTCATCCTTATTCAAATCATTAAACTTTTATTATATTTAATTATTTCAATAGATTCATAGCTATTTTTACCACTGAATCGTGTGTTCAACTATCAGTGAGGTCTTTGTTTAATTATATTTCATATGTTCACTTAATCTGTATTTTAAATTTCTTCCAGTTTGTACCACATAAATATTCCTACATTATTTTATAGATACGTTTTTTTACCCTTAGATAAATTTTGTCTTTAGTTACATTTAAAATCTAACTTTCTTGGTCAGTCTATACATAAGAAACAAATATATTTTGTTTTCTAAGTTGTTCCATTATTTGACTAGATAGACCAGAGATAAATGATTATACAATCCATTCTTTGTTAATGTTTTCAGTTAGTGTTTTAATGTAATATTTTTATTCCTGTAACTTTTAGAATTTCTTAATAGCTCTGTCAATAATTTCAGGATTAAAACCTCTTTCCATTGGTACATGCTTCATTAACAATAAGTCATTGTTACAATCTTCCTGTTTACAACAAAATCTCAGTTTTTTATTCTTATGTTTCATCTTTGTACAGTAGATTACTGAGTAAATGTCATACAAGTATTTTAAAAAACTTTTATTGTGTACTATTAAATACTGGTTTCCTTCAGCAACTGTGTTGTTTGTAAAAACAATTATCAAATATTCACAGCTTATTTATTGACTATGGAGATCTGTCTTCACAAATACATGAAAATATTGAATTTCATTATTTTTTAGGTTACAATAAACTTCTAATATAGCCAATTAGTTCATTATTAACATTAGATTTTTCATGTATATTTTTTAGCAATGACATGATACAAAACTAGAGCATGAGCTTGAATTTTTTTAGTGTTCATTCAAATTCATTTTTTACTTAGTTCAACCCGAGTTATTGAAATCTGTCATGCAAATTATTAAGGTAAAGAGTTATTACAGATAAAAGACTGTATTTATATTTATCAAAAGAAGCAAGCTACAAATTTTAAGACAAGACAAATATTAAATAATTGAAGTAGTAACAGACTTACCTCTTGAATAGGGTTGAAGTCCGGATCATACAAGTTAGGAAGGAACCACAGTGCACCCGGCCGCAGCACTTCTCGCAACAGAAGAATAAAAGAGGCAAAGTAAAAAACGTAGACCATACCCACTAGCCAGTGAATGAACATGAAGGTGCCAGGAGCTGCCTTAAAGCTGGCTTCCCTGTCTTGCAGACTAGTGTCGAGTATTGTCTGAAACAAAGTCAACAATTATATCAGTGTAAACATCAAATTCTCAGAAAGTAAAGTTAATAAATATAAATGAAAAAGCAAAATTAGATAACATCAAACACTGCAATTTTTGTACAATAAAATGCATTTTAAATCATTTTTCACATCACAGACAAAACTCTAGAAGGAATATTTACGGTTTTAACAGAATTAATGATGTTTAAAATTCTCTTTCAGAAGAAAATGTATTATAGCAACCCCTGCTTTGTTATAAGGTCATTTCTAATGATATCAATTAACAGCAAATCAGAGACATTTAGATAAAAGGCATAGAATTCCCTTGACAAAGTTTTGTTGTTGATTTTTAAAGAGCAAAGTCACTTTGGGCCATCTGCTGTGTCCACCACAGGGAATCAAACCCCATATTTCGGCATTGTAAATCTGTAGACTTACCACTGTTCCACTGGGAGACCCTTAACAAAGCTTACACCAAAATCCATTCAAACATAAACCAAATCTACCATAAATAGGTTGAAAAAAGGATACTGACATGTAAGGTAAGCAATTCATACTTCTTGTTTTTTTGTGAAAAATAGTCTTTAAATATATCCAGTCACATAAGATTGTGGAAGAATCTCACTTAGAACATAACAGAAAGAGCCAGATGAATACTGAAACAAACAAATGTGTATATCAGCCAAAAGTTAGTATACAGCATGTTCTCTAAATCCTTTGAAAAGATAGAGACATCATAAATAATCTTAGTCGACAATGGTCAAAGAAAAACACCCAATAGCTGAAGAATACTCATACATGACTCAAAGCCTATTCAAAGATTGAAGAAAATGAAGAGTGAACTTCATTTGCACCAACCAATCAGATCCTCATAACTACAACAAGGCTCTTAACTGTATGAGAAAATTGAAGAAACCCTTAAATTATATAAATTAGTCTGATGAAAGAGAAGATGGGATAAAAAGGGAACTATCTATATTAGAGTTTTGCACTGACAACTTAAATGTGGCCTAACAACTGATCGTATTTGACTTACAAATTCAATATGGATCATATTAGAGTATATACATTAAACAATTTTTATTCATAAATAAATTTAAATAAAAGTTCCATCTTAGTAAAAAGTTATAATCTTCCAAGGATAAAAGGTTGTATTACCCTGATCTATGATAGCTCAAGTCAAAGAAGTAACTGAGAAAAAGAAAAACCTTAAGACACAGGCTTATATCATACAGAGAGAAAGAGATGGGAGTAGAGAGGAAACCCACATCTAAAAACATTAATCAGCCCAAAATTCAGTGAAGAACTGAAGCATGAGGAACAGATGAAACACAAAAGGCAAAAGATATTCCAACAAGACTTCACTCAGTATAAAAAAAGAGCATGAAAAACATCCAATTAAATGAAACTGGGGTTTAATGAAAGACATACAGTTAAGAGAAAAAAACAACCAACAGAGTACACCACAGTTCAAGATTGTATGACATCTGAGGTGCTGGGTGTTACCAGGCAGTGAAAAGATGAACATGTATATGAAGAAATCAAAGCATGGAACAAAACGTAGTGGGCTAGCATCCCTACACAAATGAAGAGCTTGAGAAACAGCCACAAAAAGAAGGGCTTTAGAAAGGAAATGAGGGCAGGAAGACCTTTAACAGCTCAGACCAAAATACAGCTGCTATAGGTACCTCAGTTGCAATAGTAATGGTACATATAGGCATCTGCTCCAGTGTGAAGACAGAGAAAACTCCACACACAAAGAAACAGTAACAAACTGGAACATTTGTGGTCAGTAGATATAAGCAACATATTGAGTCCCTGCAGATGGCAGAACTAGTCTGCCATAAATAAAGAAGCACTTGGTAAGCACAAACAAGACTGACAGCAGACTATAAGGAATAAGGTTTGGATCAGTGTACATTTACTTAACAACATAAAAAGACATCTCATTAATCATCCAATCCACTGCAAATACAAAAACATAATGCTGGGATAATTACATATTTAACTCCATTATGAGTAAAAGTTGAATTTCTATGCAAACTAACCACAGGAAAACTGCAAAAGAGCAAGGCCTAAGGATAACAAATCCCATCCTAACTAGTTCATAGGTTAACAACAGGTTCAGTGAGCAAGATCAAAGACACCATCACAGATGGCTAGGATTTATTCCTTTAGGTACCAGTGCAACCAGCAGATGACACAAGGCAACAAGATATCCAAAGAAATAACAAGTACAACCACCAGATATGACAAATAGATATCATAAAAAAAAAGACCACTACACAATGAGGATAAGATAAAACCTGAGATAGTATACTGACTGAAACCATCAGGACATTTCGGACAATAAATCATGGACTGGTAGCTCAACAAGCATGCAGAGACAGCTTGGTCAGCAAAGGTGAGAGGTGTGCGTGTTCATGAATGAAAGAATTATTTCAAAAATCTGGAGATGGAAACAAGGACTTTGGAAATATAATTATAGTAGGCTTGCAATAAGTACAATGGAACAAAGCCAGTCAAAATGGAATATCATATCACAGGTTTGAAACATGATATTCTCAGCTCATTTATACATATACAACACATGGGCCGTATCATGTAAAAAGATAAAAAGCACTTTAATTCACATTTCAGAGAGAAGAAAGCAAGAAAAGGTTTCAGAGGATGTTAGCAGTGAAGTTTCCATGTGGAAAAGGTGTCTCAAAATACCTCCTTAAGGACCCATGTCACTTTTAGAGCATTGGGGACAGAAGGTTAGAAAACAAAGTAAAAAAATCACAATACAAGAAATCAAGAATTGTTGAATAGTTATTTTTTACAATGAAAGTCGTATAACTGAAATACAAACACTTTTGATCACGTAGAAAGTTTCACTTATTAACTACCTAGCAAATACACTTGTCATAATTCTACTTACAAGAGAACAGATGTCCAACCACCACCCACACATAAGAGGGAATACACCAATTTCCAGCACAGATAGGAGAGAAACTTTGACAACAACATAACAGAGTCCCAGCAGTTGTTTGGTTTTTCTAAGCTTCACAAGAGATGCTACTCCATGAAGAAGAATAAGCACAAGGCCAATAACCACATAGCCACTTAAGGTCGTTAGTAAACCTTCAAACTGAGATGCAGTCACCTGTAACATTATTTCATTTAGTTATTTACACAGGAAAAATCAGAACTACAAATAGGCTTACTTTACAGTTTCAAGAAAAGTTAACTTTTACACAAAATTAAACAAGTTTTTATGATGTAGGATGATAAAATAGATTTCTTTAAATTTTATAAGATCTAACTTTTTCTGGAAAATACGAGCTAAGCTACCTTCAATATAAATTAGTAACTGATACAAAACAATTACAGAAAAACATGCCTACTTAATGTGCATAAAGTTTAATCACTACTTCAAATGTACGTAATGAATGACAAGAACATATAACATGAAAATCTGAAACAAGCAGAAATCAACTTAGCAATCTTCTTTCTCTCTCTTGAATTATTTCCATCTTCATAAATCAAGTACTTCAATCTAGCCAGATTAGGTAATTATTTGGATGGTTTTAAGTGTACCAAGCAAGCACTTAAATATTTTAAACTATTAATAAATACATTTCAATTGAACTTCTTTCCCTAAAACGAATGGGAATAAATAAACAGTTTTTTACACTGCATAAGAAGTAGATAATATGTGATGTATACAGCAATTACTTCTACTCAAATCCTCCACCTATAATCACAAACCGTGAATATATTTTCTCACATGAAATGTCAGACACACAATAGAAGCAACTGAACAAGATATTTTTGCTCACGTTATACATATAGTTTTACAAAAAATATTTATAAACATTGCATATTTTTCTCCAGAAACAAACATACAAAAACCAACCCACAAGAAATATACATCATTCTTCCTTGATCTATTTTCAAATAGTGGTGATGGTTCTTAAAGAACTGTGGGGCACATGCCATACGTACCATCTTAAATTTATATACATATATATATAACTAATCTATCTATAATATTTATAATGATCTAACAACTTCATATTTTGGTAGTTATATTTTACAACCAAATGTCTCGTTTGTGCTGACCCTCCTTCTAAATTCATCCCTGTTCAATCCTTCACTGTTTTATTTGCAAAAGTGCATTGACAAACTTTTCCATGTTTGAAACCTGGATTTCTGTGATTAAGCATTAAAAACCTTCACAGTTTTTCTGCTTGGTCCACATTTTCATGTGTCATTGAAAAAACATTTACTTTTGGCAAAAATTTAATAAACTATAAGGAAAAACAAAACTTTCACATAAAAAAGGCTCAAATAAATAACGATTTTTAATTATTCTTAGTTTCCAAGCATTTTCTAATACAAGTTTGTATGCCATTTACGTTTTGTAGACTAGAAATCCCATTCATTTCTTTTTTTTTTGTACTTTTGCCAAACTATGGGTTATATTATAAACTCAATATAAAATACCACTGGTTTTATATTTATTCATATTTTTCTGTCTCTCTATAGTTTTGCTTTTATAAGGCCTAATTTCTGTTATTATATGCTCAATACAAAACACCAGTAGTTTAGTGTTTGTTTCATACTTTTCTGTCTTATTAGTTTTGCTTTTGTTAAGCCTAATTTCTGTTATTATATGCTCAATATAAAACACCACTGGTTTCATGTTTGTTTCATACTTTTCTGTTCCTATAGTTTTGCTTCTGTCAGTCAAGCCTACTTTCTGTTATTATAAGCTCAATATAAAACATCATTGGTTTCATGTTTGTTTCATACTTTTCTGTCTCTATAGTTTTGCTTTTGTCAAGCCTAATTTCTGTTATTATATGCTCAATATAAAACACCACTGGTTTCATGTTTGTTTCATACTTTTCTGTCTCTATAGTTTTGTTGTTGTGAAGCCTACTTTCTGTTATTATAAGCTCAATATAAAACACCACTGGTTTCATGTTTGTTTCATACTTTTCTGTGTATACATTTTTGTTTTCATTAAGCCTACCTTAGGTTATTATAGCTCAATATAAAACACCACTGGTTTCATGTTTGTTACATACTGTTACAACAGCGGAAGTCACGTGACGCTAGTAACACGTCATGAACTTCTAGAAAAATCATGTCCCTTCCTGAAGCCTCGAGTGTTTACTAGATATAAA